GACAGATCTTAGCTACAACAACATTCCAGACAAAAGATACATTATTCTCAGAGAATTAAGAATTGACAAAAATGTGATCAATACCCTTGGGATGATTGTTAGCATTTATTTGGTAATTCTTAGGATGCGAGTTTTAGACATTTTAAAGTTAATTCTCAATCTTGGAAATGATTAAGAAGGCTGGAGGTGTCACTCAAAGAGTACTTGCAGAGCCAGGCAAGGGACTGGGTTCATTCCCCAGCACATCAATCAATCAATCAATCAATCAAAGAGCCCAAACTGCAGAAAGCCAAAAGTTTGGCAGCTCTAAAAATCCTCCTCACTTTTTCTTCAAATAATTTTAACATCATTTCTGTAAACTACAGAAAAAGAAAAATTGAGCACACTCAGCATTCTTGAGTGTGTTGAATATTCCCAAATAATAGAACACAAGTGTTTATCTCTCTAACCTCACTACAGAGTTAGAATTAAGGTCTAAAATAACCTCTATGAGAAAGAATGGGCAAAGTGGTATCAGTGGACATGAGATAATCCTACAACTTTGAAAGTGGATGAATGGAGGGAAGAATTGTGGAGGAAACAGAAGGAGAAAACTAAACCCAAGTATCTGCAGAGGAGGTATGAAGAAGAGTGCTGACTCAGCCCTCATCCCAACCCTTGGGAAGGCTCACAGACAAACAAAGCACTGTGAGAATAAGGTGAGCTGTCAGGTAAAACAGGAGGTCTGACTCAAAGCCACCAATCCATCAGTAAGGTCAGGCTTTCCACTTTGAATGCATGCATGCACCTGAGTTATAACAATAGCTTTCTGACTGCTGTGCTGGCCCCCTACAATCTCTTGTCAATACAATAGCCAGAAGTCAGATCCCCTCTTTCATCTCCTCCAATTCTTCCAGGGGCTTCCCTCTCACTCAAGAGTAAAAGCTGAATTTCCCACAGTGACTTACAAGGCTTCATCTCCAACTCAGGACAGCTCACTTGCTCTGCTGTAGCCACACTGGCCTCTCCGCTAGTCCTCTAACACTCAGCTTGGTGCTGATAACGCCAAGGTCGCGGGTTCTTTCCCCGTACGGGCCACCAAATGCCGCAGTCTGGCTGGGCATAATTCAGGAGCCACTTGTCAAAAGAAACGAACTTTATTTTTAGAACCACATACGCCAAACCACACAGCTCTTCAGGAAAACCTTCAGAGCCCAACTGCCACCACTGGCTTCCCACAAGCCTCTCAACCTCCCCCACTCCTGGGCCTTCCTTTGAGCTTGATCCCTCTTCAGCCAGGGAGACTCTGCAACCTGACTCCTCTCAGTGCTTCACTCCAAGCCCATCTTTTCACAACAGGACTACTTCCCAGTCACTTTAGCTAAACTTTCAACCATTAACCACCATACACTCTTCCTGCCACATGTTTCTGACCCCCTCCCCTATTTTTCATTGACTTTCATCTCAGGACCTATCATTATCTCAGTAGTTTCCATGAAAAGTAGCAAACAAGTGCAGAGTGCTTATTGGATGGTTCTAGGGCATATAAGAGAAGAAGGCTGTTCCTGGCCCTGGTTACCCTAGGCTCTGCTCAGCAGTCCTGAGGACTATAGGGTCCAACCTGCCAGCTCACCCTTGGCCAGTTCTTAAAAGGTGCCAGGAGCTCTGGCTCAGAGAACAACTCCCACAATTTGGAGCAGGAAGAAAGGAGGCTCCATATGGGTAACTTTTTGGGAGGAGGGGAGTACACAAATCCTAACAGACTACTAACAATGTGGAAATCATATCAAAAGGCTGCTGACTGGGGCTGGGGTTGTGGCTCAGCAGTATAGTGCTCACCTCGCATGTATGGGACCTGGGCTCGATCCTCAGCACCACATAAAAATAAATAAATAAAATAAAGAAATTGTGTGCAACTACAACTAAAAAATAAATATTAAAAAAAGGCTGTTGATGGTCTAGAAAAATGACAATGGGAATAAAGAAAATTAAGCAAATATAAAAGCAGAAACTTATAAGCTTCAGAAAGAAATGCTACAAAGAAAATGCACTCAATCACTTAGTTTGAGAATGAACACTATTTATGTAGCCCATAATAATGCAATCTAAATAACTGTGATAAGCCTATGCAGAGAGTGAAAGCTGAGAGGGCAGATCACTACAAGTTAGAAACCTTCAAGTTTGAAAAAAAATGCCACAGCACAAAGACTTTCTGACATTTTACCTAGAGGTCTGTATACACTCATCTGGTAATTTTCATTTCATATCACTGCTCTATCTATGCACATACATGGGCACTCATATATTATGTAGATAAAGGCCAAGGAAAATTAACAATCTGTTGCTCATCACCTCCCCTACCTTCAATTCACCCAGCAAAGTGCTGGGTCCTCCTAATCCGGCATGATAAAAATCGACAAGTTAACACCTAAAATGAATGAATGATATGTGTCTGTTTAATGTATGTCTTAAACATATCTGTGTGTTGAAGACATATTAGACACATATAGTAAGCAGATACATATTCATCCATTTGTTTAGAGATACAAAAGTAAATGAAAAGAAAATTGATTCTGAAAGACTGAATTAGAGGGAGAGGTTGGAACTGACTTGTTAGTACTTTGCAAAGAACCCCTTTTGGGGTACAATTTGAACTTTTAAAGTCATGTGCATTTATTATCTGATAAAATTATATTTAAAATAAATTTATTATATTCAGTTAAGAGTCCTATGTCAGGGCTGGGGTTGTGGCTGAGTGGTAGATCGCTTGCCTAGCATATGTGAGGTGCTGGGTTTGATCCTCAGAACCACATAAAAATAAACAAATAAAATAAAGGTATTGTGCCCAACTATAACTAAAAAAAAATTTTTTTTAAAGAAAAAAGAAGAGTCCTATGTCATTCCTTCCATTACCCTGTTAAAGCTTACACTACCTATTTTTCTGTTTGTTTTTTCCCCCAACCTTTCAATAACTCTGATGAAGCTGTAAGAGAGGGAACTATCCAGGGGATTTGGGTTAATCAGGAGGTTTTTACCCTTGGATTAAAAGCCATCTGGAAATGGAAAAGTAACAAGACAAACACCTCACTACAAGCGAAAGGTCACCGCCCCTGGGAGGACTTCCCTTGGTTTCATACAGAGATGTGTAAGTCGGAGCCCCCCTAAGAGTGAATAAACCTCTCAAATCTGCTTTTAGATCACTACAAGTTAGAAACCTTCAAGTTTGAAAAAAATGCCATAGCACAAAGACTTTCTGACATTTTACCTAGAGATTTGTGTTTACACTCATCTGGTAATTTTTATTTCATAGCACTGCTCTATCTATGCTCATACATGGGCACTCACATATTATGTAGATAAAGGCTAAGGAAAATGAAAAATCTGTTTCTCATCACCTCCTCTATCTTCAATTCACTCATTTTATTCAGATATTTAGTTATTATCAATTATCTATTAAGTGGCTGCTATGAGAAAGGCTCTATCAGAATTGATCTTCCAAAAAAAAAAAAAATCACATAGAAGGACATTGTCTATGCCTTCAGGAAATTCAGTGGAATCAGGACCAGCAGATAATTACTGATGTGCCTGCCAGTCTTTAGTTTTTCACACAATACTCTAAGGTAACAAAAACACTGAGAGTTTGGGGTACCTGAAGCTTGTAAACTGATTCAGAAGGAGGGTATTCTCTCATGGTATGCATTCTCCTAAAACTTCCGGTGTCAACATTTTGTAAGAAAAAATCAGACTTAACTCTTGCAGATAGTGGGTTTATAATCAAGCTCTGGTTACCCCAGAATGGCTTAGGAGAACATTTCGGAAATTGTTAAGAACAAGAGAAAAGAGAAATAGTTATAGTATAGAGAATTCATTTTCATTGGCCAGTAGAAGAAAATGCAAGAACTTCAAAATAATTAAAAAAAAATACTCCAAGGGTGTTCAGAGTATCTCAGCAAATTATGTGAACTAGAGATGTCAAATTCATATTAACAGATGGAACAAATGCTTTCTTAAAAATATTGATAAGCTAAAATAATCTTACTTCTGTCAACTGAACTAAAATCATTTTGGATGAAAGAGTATCTTAGTCTGAAACAGTTTCACTGGCAGAATGACAACTAAGGCTGGATTTATTTAACCAAACTGGAATATTTGATATACTTGGTTGGCAAATAAAGTTAAAATCAGCAAGACCATAATGTGCAATTACTTTCAAACCGATCCATTAAAAACAGGAAGGTATTATACTAACTTATAAGCAATGATGAACCAAGATTTAGAAGTACAGGACATCACCTCAAGTAACAGTCAGTGTTCATCATGAGGCAGGCACAACACTGGCTGCTGAACAGTCAGGGCAGACTGGTAGTTGGTTAAGAGGCTGGACTGTGGATCCAAGCAGCCTGGGTTCAAAATCAAAAATTCAAAATCTGCCACAAATTATATGACACCAGGGACCTATTAATCTCTCTGGGTTTCTGGGTTTTGTTTGTTTTTAATCTGTAAAAAAAAAGATGTTACCGAGTTTGTAGGACTCAAATGAGTCAGTATTCCCGTAAAGGAGCACTGCCAGGCACGCAGTGTGCGGTACGAAAGTGTTAACTGTTGTTATTGTTTTTAAAGTTAAGTGTCAGGTACAGCTAAAACCCAAGAACCAACTTTCCACTCTTAAACTCTATGTATACTGACTAATTCTATCATACATTTTTAAATGCCATTAAAATCTGAGAAATATTGGGCTGGGGATGTGGCTCAAGCGGTAGTGCGCTTGCCTGGCATGCGTCTGGCCCGGGTTCGATCCTCAGCACCACATATAAACAAAGATGTTGTGTCCGCCAAAAACTAAAAAATAAATATTAAAAAATTCCCCTCTCTCTCTCTCTTTTTAAAAAAAATCTGAGAAATAAAACAGCAATAATCATGTAATAATTTTTCAAAGTTTAAAAAATATTTCTAATACATGTGGATAATAAACTTTTCAATACATTCAGTTTTGTAACAAATTAAGAAATGACAAAATTCACCTTTTTGTCCATGACGACTGCTGAATTTGTCTCCGATCTCTGGTCGCCTTGTCTGTCTCAGTAACATTTTAATCAGAAAAGCGTCTTCAGCATTGGAAGATATCATCACCTTCTCAATGTATGAATCTGTTGCCCCTTTGTAACTAATGTTAAGAGAAAGGCATTCAAGCAATTTTTTCAAATTGCCCTTTGTAAATTTATCTCCTATATGACATATTTTATTTAATCCTACTACAAAATATTTGACATTCTCAGCGTGGATTCTGAAAAGTGACTTTCAATTTTAACATTTAATTCAAATTTCACAACTTCTCTTTACAGTCCTATATGCTTATTATGAGGCAGGCACAGCGTAACTTATCCTCAACAGTGGCATACTGTTAATCCCTTATTACAGAAGGGGAAAACTGATGCTCAGGGAGGCTAAGTAACTTGTCCAAGGGCACACGCATCACAGAGTAGAAATGGGCCTGAGCTGGAGCTTGTCAGACCCAACTCCAAGTTCTTAACCATTTTTTTTTAACAGTTCTTTTATCTACTCAGCTTTTCCAACATTAATCCCCTCTACACACATATACTTGTTTCTTATACAACAGATAATATCAAGAGTCTCTCAGTGTCAGACCCTTGCAAGTTCTGGACACAGATACTGAGTGAACCCAGTTCCTACACAAAAGGAGCTCCCTGCCAATTAAGGAAGAAAAGACTGTGGCAGACACCAGGAGGGGCTGTTTGTTGAGCACTGCCACAGAAGAGGTGACCTGCAGGTGAGAACCACCAGGCAGAGGGAGCATCCTGAGCAAACGTGGGAGGCCTGGAGAAGGATGGTATGTATTAGACAGTAAGAGGTGAGTTCCTAGGAATGTGGGGCCTAGAATTCAGCATGAAGGCACACCGAGGGTGTGGAGGGTGCTGAGGACCATGGGCAATCATGGATGTCCTACATTTTCCACAGGCAACAGCGCCATTCAGAGCCATACTCTTATTTACTCAAGATAGTAACACAGCTAGGCAAGTAATTTAGAAAATCACTCAGGCGGTTAATGCAGAACACAAGAGGGGTGGAGAGGTGCAAGCTGGGAGGCAGGTGAATAGTTAATGATAACCGACAGTCCAGGAAAAAGCAGAGGGCCAGAAATGGCAATAGCTGGGAGGAGGAGGAGTGCGACAGAACCTCTAAGCTCCTGATGTGCACATCTGACAGGTAGAGGAAGGAGTAAGGTTTATGCTGTGGTGGCAGGTTAGGTGGTGGTGCCCATCACCACCGAGACAGGGACTCCAGGTGGAGCAGTCTGTCTGAGGTTGGGGTAGGGACGGGGAAAAAGATGTTTTGGGTCCAGGCTTGGTGTCCCTGACATGTCTAAGCACTAGTATGAAGCCAACACTCGGCAGATTCCATCTGAGAGTTATCAGTAAAAGTGTGCATGGAGGGCTGAATTTCTGCAAGTAGGAAGCACATCTGGACAAGGCACAAGACGTACTGGGCAGAAAGAGGTCACCAACAAGGCAGGCAGGAAGGTCAGGTGAGGGTGGTATCACAAAATCAAGGGGAGAGGTGTGTCACTGATGTCCAAAGCTACAGAAAGGTCATATGCCATTCATGCATTCATTTGTTACTGTGCCACACACTGAGGGTCCCAGATAAACAAGAGAAAAAGCCTCAGACCACAAGACTGGACCGAGGAGTCCACAGAACCTGGTAAACTGAGGAGCTCTGGGCTTTGCTCACTTTTTTGCTATCTGTCATCTTTCCCAAGGTGTGAGATCTACAGGGGCAGGAACTACTGTTAATTTTGCTCGCTGCACTATCCCATGCACCTAGAATACATTCTGGCATATTATTAGTGCTCACAATACTTCTGGAATAAACTGAGTGAATAGGAGATCTCTGGTGACAGGATATCTTTGGTGACCCCTTCTGCAGCTGTTTCAGTGGGATGAAGAGGTAGCAGGCTGGTCCGGAGACAGCGATGGAGATGACTTTTCAAAGAAGCTCAGTTGTGAAAGGAAAAAAACAACAGAATGGTAGCTAGAAAGGAACCCAAACTCCAGAAAAAGCTATTATTTTCCTGTAATGATAAGAAGTACTTGACTACACTTTCTAGCCTGTGAGGAAGGAATCAATAAAAAACAGGCTTAAAAAGTATGGGAGGAAAAAGCCAAAATGACAGAATAAGAGCTCTGAAAAGAGTAGAAGAAATTAAGGACCTGGGCGGAAGAGAGATGGGCTTTGAATAGAAAGAGATTCCTCCTTCAGGACAGAAGAGAGCCACTGAGCATAATCACCTGGGCAGCTTGAACAGCTTTTGCTTTGTGGGGCTGAGCTAGTGTTCACACCCTGCCCCCCAAATGAACTGCCCATTCTGTCCCTTGTGTGGCCACCCCACAGACAAGTCCATAGCACCTGCCCCACTCTGCTACACTAAGCACAGTGTGCATAGGGGAGTCCGACAGTTTAAATCCTGCCTCTGCCACTTGTAGATGTGTGACGTTGGGAAGTCACCAAACTGTATCTCCTTGCCTCCATTTTCATATCTAATGAGCTTTTAAGATAACATGGCTCAAGGGGTGGTAGTAGGATCAACTGAACTAATACATGTAAAATGGCCAGAAAAGCTACTGATACGGGAAATTCTCAAGGAAGTGACGAGGTTCACAGTAGTAACTGCATTTCTTCTGTGTGGAAGTCTCTTCCACGACTCCCTATAGACAGGCAAAGCCATGGCTTATGTCAGTCCTATATCCTCAGCACATGCGCATGGTCCCTAGCACACAGCAGGCCTTGGCACGTATGTGTAAAGTGGGTTTGGAAACCCACTATGCCCAGTTTAGGAACCCTGTTCTCCCTTGTCACCTACTTCCCACCTGCTGAACATGACCTGGTCCACCTGCCCTGGGTGAGACTGCTCATCCTCTCTCCTAGCTTAGTTTCTCTATCAGTGTGATGCCTCTCACTGGTCTTCTCAGAAAGTTTCATATTTTCATATATTTTAGAGCTAAGAGGGAATCTAGAGATGAACAATTCTAGTTCTTTCACTATATAGATGAGAAAACTAAAGTTGATGGAATTTTAATCCTTTATCAACACAACCAATCTTTGAACCACACTATACTCAAGTACACTGGTGATGCCATGCTGTGGCCAGTATAGGCTATTTGTTTTTAAAACACAAAGTGGATGGTAACACCCTCTAAGAATGATTCCCAATTCTTCCACTTCCTGGAAGCAGCAAGCTACTGATCCACCAAAACCTGGGGACTTTGACATATTGTGCCCTTTACCTTGCTGCTCCTTCCACAGGGAGCCCTTGTCTGTTTGGTTCAGAAACTCACACCAGGTAATAAGGCCTCTATGATTCCACAGCCCAATTTTATCTTCCATGCCCACCTGCTTTCAAGATAACCTACCAATACCCAGTTCATATTTCCCCATCCCTTCTCTTTTGCCAGCCTTTCTGTCTTACCAAGGCACAACCAATACCTACGTTATGGGCACGTCTTTGTACTGTGGTTGCTGTGGCACATTACTTCCTTCCAAAGGAATCTGAGTCACTGTGGGCATGGACTTGTTTACAAGCACTTGTTTGTTTTCTACTTTCTCACCTAAGAAAGAGAAAAGAATGTTAGACATATCATTATCATCTGTGTAGAATGCAAAGATTGCTAGAACATTATAAAATTATGTGGTTAGACTTGGCCCAAGAAACCCATATAAGGAAGAAAGAAATGGATCCACACAGTGGGAACTAGAACTCAAGAAGGTTCTTGTGTGATTTTGTAAGCCATTAAACAAACACACACACACACACAGATTAAGATCATAGTGTGAATAAAATTTAAAAATTAATTGATTTAAGGACTATACTAATAGGATAAACTGTCACCTCGGTCAAAAACAACTGTAGTAGAAACAGGTACTTTAAAGAGATATATACATTTGTTTTTTCCATCAGTAGCAAGTCATCAACTTGGGTAGGAAGGAAATCAAGTTTCTTTGGTTTTGCTACTATTCCCATTTCACTTTCTGCTTCTTCATGGTGAGTTCAAAGACCGTTTACAGTCCTGTCCCACCACTTACTTTCCAAGCCACAATGACCAGCATTAAGAGTGTGAGAAATTCTGAATGAATCAAAGGCAGAGAAAATGACAGGGAGCCATGCACTTGGCCTAATACAGCACTGACCACCCAAGGACCAAGCACGACAAGCTGTGCAGGTGGTTCCCTGTGTGCTAAGAGAGTGCTCAGTTGGTCTCTCCTCTACTCTGTGTCCTTCTCATCTTTTCTCCACACTGCAGTCAGAATGATCATTTCAGAACACCCAATCCTGCCATTGCTTTGGGGATCACAATGAAAGTAGCCACAAGGCTGCCAGGTCTTGGCTAGGCTGGCCCCATCCTCCCCACCACCCCCAGACTCAATGTTGCCACAGTGCCATGCACCTATGCACTCTTTTTCTCTTAGTCACACTGCTTTTCTTCCAGATCCCTCAGCTTCAAGCTCTAGGACATTTGCACAAGCTTTTCCTACTGCCTAGAGCCTTCTTAAGTAGTTAACTTTTATGCGTCTTTCCAATTTCCGCTCATTTTTTGTGGAAGGGATGCTGATCTTCCTAATCAAGTAAAATCCTCTTGCTATAAAATACCATGTGATTCTTTAAGTTGGTTATAATTTGACATGTTTCTGTGTGATGCTTTACCTATGATGGTCTCCCACAATAGCCTATAAGACTCACCAGAGGGAAGCACTGTATGTTGCATCAACAAATTGATCAGAAGCTTATAATTATAATGGAGTTATACTTTTAGGGAAAATAGATTCTAAAGTCAGTCTGTAGAAAAAGTGCCTAAGTAAAGAAATACCAGTGCAGGTGCAGGAACAAGACCCTTTCCTAAACATTTCTTAAAGTAGCTTTTCTATAATTCAAAATTAAAATAGAAAATTATATTTAGGATAGATTATTGTTATGTGAAAACATGATGCATAAAAAAATCAAATGGACAGAAATTCATCCAAAATGACCATATGGCTAAGTCTGGACAGTAGTAGTAATATAGGATGTTATTTTTTCTCTGCCCTGTTTATCAAATATTCAGAAATACTGTGAATAACTTGTAATTTTAAAAAGCATACATTAAAATTAAGTTTTTAAAAGACTTTTACCTGGAGAACAGATACCATCTGCATCTAAAATCTCATGTCGCCAGATAGGTTTCCTTGTAGCAGCATCCAACATGGGCCCCATCACTTTATCAAAAGTTTGATTAGTGTACCGTTTCAATGTACACTTGGCATTTTTATATACCAGGCACCGTCCAAAGCCTAAAATGAAACCAAAATGAATCAAAACCACCAGTAACACGAAACTATGAGAAAAATGGATTTGTGCCATTCACTGATCCACTCTGCCTTACCCTCCCCCAAAACCTAAAACTACTATACCAGTGGATAATTTGGGACTGGCACAAACCAAGTAGCAATTGATAACCAGAAGAAATGTCTTGGGACTCCTCCTAGTCACTGTCACACAAACATGGAAACTACAACCACTTCCAGTGTAGAATCCACCTGGCCACACTGGAGGAAAGTAGAGAGATCTAATTTTTTATTGTTTTTTTTTTAAATAATTTTTTATACTTTATTTTATTTATCTTTATGTGGTGCTGAGGATTGAACCCAGGGCCTCGAATGTGCTAAGTGTGCACTCTACCGTTGAGAGATCAAATTGACACTGTGATTCTCACCAAGCCTGGAGCCTCAGAATATTACAGCTGAAAAAGTTCTGAGAAACGACATGGTTTAATTCCTTTCTTTTACAGGCATTATGAGTGAGGTCTAGAGAAATTAAGGAGCCATAGTTACCCAGAAAATTGGTAGCAGAGCTGGGAATAGACCAAGTCCACTAACTTCTAAGCCAGGATTCTTAGTACCCATTCTTTTGGTACATAATTTCTGTAAGTCCCTGGCAAGTTTTCCTTTTACTAACTTACAGATAGTTCCAAACAAGCAAACAAATAAACCAACAAACAAAATAATATTTTTTCTCCAGAGAAGAGAGAAAATAAAAAGATACAATCAAATAATTTTAATAGGATAGTTTCTCTCTTCCATGAAAATCAATTTAATTAAATTACATTTTTAGATTTTATTTGTCTAGAAGATGAGGGAAAAGCCTTAAGACTAACATATAAAAAAATAAGCAAAACAGAAGAAAACCATTTAGGGGTTTAAAAAAAAAAAACACAATCAACTGAGAGTCCCCCTGTACCCCCCAAAAAAACTAGCTGCAGAGTTACCCCCCAAAAAGCTGTCTTCTTTCAACACTAAATATCATTTCCAAGATTCTGTGGCTGAGCTTCATTCTTTTTTCCCCTGTGGCCAACAAGTTATTTTAAACTGAATTCCCTCTCTAATCTCCTCAGGATACAATGAGCCATGTCAGGGTTCATTTGGATAGAAAAATGTCTCAGGATTAAATGGCAGCTATTACTAATGAAATAAATGCATGGTTGTAAAAGCCTTCACTTTTGATTCTCTACCAGAAGTGGAACTCTTTCAAGAAATCTTGAGAATGTGAATTCAAAAAATCCATCAGGTAAAAGCAGATTTCTAAATAAAATATCACTCACTGCTCTTATGTAATGTTTAAGATCTAAAGGTGCCATGGAATGAAATACATTTATACAACCAAAGATGTAGACATCTGTATGTCTTTGAGCAAATTCTGGTCCTCATGGCTCCTAGTCAACTGTGACTGACATAAAAGCAGTGCAGAATCAACTGGCTTGCAAACATTGTGTGATCTTGAAATGTCATACAAGAACCATTAGCTGCAAGACACTGGACTGCAGTGTGAATCCAAGCTGCATGGAATCGAGAAATGTTTTCTTCTAAGTGTCAACAGACGTTTTATTTACAGGTGGTAGCTTTAAAAGCTAGGGGACAGTAAACTCAGATCATTAAATTGTGTTGTGGAGTTTTTGACAGACATCACAAAGTCTTCAGATTTCCACATAAACGTAACCAGTTAATCAGAAAGGAAAACATCTAGTTTTAAAGCATGGCTGTTGTCATTTGGAGGAAAAAAAGAGGCATAAATTAAGTGCAGCCAACATTAATGCCAATGACACATGTCTCGAAGTACTATTAGGGCTGCCTAGCAACTACAAAGAGGGAAGGGGAAGGCATAGTGGGTATGCCAGGGAGGAAAAAGAGAAACAGATCATGAATAGAGAAGTCAGGCTGCAGATCAGGTGATGGCTAACACACCATGAAGCAGTGACCTGCAAAAGTGAACTGTCAAAACAGAGAAAGAAGAGTGCAGAAACAACAAGCTAGGGCTTGTATATGTGTATTTTAAACTGTTGTCATTTGGTTAAAAAAAAAAAAGAGGTATAACAGAGGTATAAATAAAAAATAGCCTTTTTCATCTGAATACTGTTACTGTTACTGCTTCTCAAACAGGTACCTTACTTCATATATTGTAATTCCTTCTGGGGAAAAAAAAATTCTTTTTTTTTTTTTCCTCTTTAACAAACTGTCTCAAGTCACCAAGAAAATAAAATAATAAACAAAAGATTCTGTAGCAATACATTCAACATATCATCTCAACATAACAGTCATTAAAAACAATCAACCAAAAAGCCACTACTAGAATGTGAATATCTCTGTGTACATGCTGTCACTTGAAACCGACATTTGACACCAAGTGATTTTTGTATTAATCACCCCCTATATCTCACTCTGTAAAAAGTACTTTTGGTGTTAGAGCCTTGAAAATGTGCTCACCTCGGTCCAAGGAGGCCTTGTTTAAAACAAGAGCATCTTCGATATCGTAACCACTGTAACTCATCACAGCAACCGTCGCATTCTGTCCTGCAGGCAATTTCTCAAATTCTATCAGCTCAATGGTTTTTGTTTTAACCATGGGCTTTTGTGGATATGCTAGCAGATACATGAGAGTATCAATTCTATTTCTCTGGTTGTATCCAATGGTACCTGCATTGATCATGGAGAAAACAAAATGCAATATTCTATTATGTAACATGATTAGGTAGCAATGAATATAGATAAACACATTAACTTTGCTAATTAAAAAGAAGAAAATCTTCAGGTCAAATATTTTAAAAGCAATTTACTCATGGTAGCTAATCCCTCTTAAAAGCAGTCTTTCTCACTAATATTTAAAATCCCACAAAGAAGAAAACATCATACTTAAGGTACATTAATTTAAACAACTTCAACATTTTAGATTTACAAAATTGATCTTGTTTGAGGAATTTTAGACTTCACTGGCCAATTTCACGCTCTTGGCTCTTGTGGAAGGGTAATGGGAGAAGGACATCGTTTATTCACCAGAAGGAGCTTGCACAGGGCAACAAACAGATATAGTTCAGAAAAATAAATCAACAACTACAAAAGTCCTAAATGAAAAAGACCGCAGGAAAGGACAGAAGGAATGAATGAAAAAAGAGGAAATCAACTAAAGACAGGGAAGAGTGTATTTATTCATCTAAGTAACTATTCACTTATTAAGCAGTTAATGCATATCTACTCTGTGCCAAGCACTGGAGATAAATGGGGAAAGGCAAGGTCTCTGATCTTGAGGGATCTGGGGTCTCGGATGGCTCTTTACTCTTAGCAATCAGACTTTCTACCTGATTGGTCCTGAGAAGGGTGTTGCTGGGTCACTGTTAACTGAAATAAAATCAGAATGTTAGCCCTTTCTCTTTTTTCTCCGAGAAATACACGGGGATTCATAGTCTTCATGAAGAGAAGTCTTTCAGTGCCTTGGGCTTATGTTGACCCTACATAGAGACCTTAAAATTGGGGACCAGGCCTGTCCCACTACTGAAGTTGTGTACGGGCTACTGAGCCTCTTTAATCTCTCTTTCATAGCTCTCTATTCCCCAATGAGTGGCTGAGAAGTTAAGAATAGATGCTAACATTAGGAGAAAGACAGTAGTTTTGTCTCTCTCTTGTACATGCCTCCAAAGTAACACCCCGTCCCATGCCCTGTGGTACCTATGTGCCATTTCATGAAGCTATGCTACTTAGGCAAGCAGATACAGAAGCTTAATATTTATTTCCTTTAACTTCTCCATATCCATGTCTTTAAATCAATGATCATCTCAATTCAGGGCTGCAAATAAACCATTCAAACAGCAAATATGATATATGGTACTCCTTGACAATCACTACTGAGAGAAATAAAATCTGTACAGTGAATCAAAGAAATTCTCCTAGTACAACGCCAAGCTCACTGAAGATGTTCAATAAATGTCAAGTGAATTAAGTAGAAGAATCATACTACATTTTTTATGACAGGATGTATCTGTGTTTAAATCTCTAGAAAATTTATCAAAGTTCAGCTGAAAACAATAGTCCAACTGGACCTTGTGAACTTGCACTGCAAACTGCCAATTAATTTATGTTATTTTAGTGCCAACTAATAACCTGGGCAGGACACCTGGCAACAGATCATGTACTGTTCTAGAAATAAGAATGCCACCAGGATCATGGTAAAGTTCACTGACAATAAATGTGTCCTTTTCCATGAAATCATTTTAAAATTTATGTTGAGATTTCAGCTCCAATTGTGTACTTTACTCAGCTTGAGATGAGGGTTCAGGCAAAATGTCCCACCAGGCTGCCAAACTGTCTCCTGAAACCTGAGACAAGCATTATCATGCAGCAGGGAAGCTTTGCCTCTACACAATGGCGAAAGAGGCTGGATCCTGCTATAAATTATGCTACCAGGCCCAGAACATAATTTTCGGGCATTCCAGCTGATCATTGAATAGAGGAGTAGCAAAAATCATTAAGCACATATTCGGGGTTTATGATCTCATAAAAATCTTTCTTCGAAAACTTTTGAAAGAACTTGTCTTGTGGGAGCATCCATGTACATACATTTTTAGTAACAGTATGGGCAAGTTAAAATGTAACTTATAAACTGTGATTTCTATATCATAAAACTTTAAAATGCCAACAGATCCCCATAATTTATATAAAAATTATGAATGGGTGACTATTTTGCTAATAAGCAAATTTTTTGAAAAATTTCCCTAAGAAATTAAATCATAAGGCCTGCCTGTCTGAAGCACCTGCACAAACTAGGACGTCCCTATTACTGTCTCCAGTTTCCTTAAAAACAGTATTGCAGGGACTTGGATATGTGGCTATGTGGTAGAGCATTAGCTTGGCATGTACAAGGCCCTAGGCTTGATAACCAGTAGTGCAGAAAAATAAAGAGAATAAGAGGAAAGAAAAAAAAGGCACATGAGAGGGCAGGTTATATACATATAACTAGCACAAGGAAAATATCTATAAGCTGTATTTTACTTCTATTGCCCCATTTTGCTGGAACTACAGTCTCAAATAATTTCCTATTCTTACTTCTCAAGACATACTATTTCTTACAAAGCCTCATTTTCTTGATAATAACTTTCTTAAGTTACAAACTGGCATAGCAGGGTATATAAATGTATAGCTGGGCACAGCAACTTAGGAGGCTGAGGCAGAAGGATCACAAGTTCAAGGCCAGCCTCAACAACTTAATAAGGCTCCAAGCAACACAGCAAGCCCCTGTCTCAAGTAAAAATAAAAAGGTCTGGAGCATTCCTAGGTTTATCTGTTCCCCACAAAAAGTAAGTTAAAATAGGAAAAAAGAACTTTTTTCCCCCAAAGTGGGATGAAAAAGATTAGTAAGAATGTAAACAAATTAGAATACAAACATTAAAAAAATGTCATTTATGCATTTAACTATTTCGTTTTCCTCTGTCCAAAATCTTCATCATTATCAAATACAAAATACTTTATCCATTTAGAGTATCAAAATGAATGAGTTCTGACAGATATATACCCTTGTAAAACCACAAACACAACCAAGATCCATCCCTAGAGATGGATATATTTTATCATTAGAGATTAGTTTGCATTTTCTACGGTTTTATATAAACGGAACCATATATATGCTCTTATAACTGCTTGTTCCACTTGGCACAATTCTGATTCATACATTTTTCATTCCTTTTGATTGATGAGCACTATTCTGCTGTATGAATAAATGCTACAAGACACATTCATGTACAAGATTGTGTATTTTAATTTCTTTGGATAAATATCTAGGAGTAGTACTTTCTGGGTTGTTTGATAACGGAATGATTAACTTTTAAGAAACTATCCAAGAATTTTCCAGATTTGTTACATTTCTTTCCATCCCACCAGCAGAGTATAAGCCCTCTGACGGACTTCTGTGCACCCTCACACCAGCACTTAGCATGCTGGTCTTTTTAACTTTGATAATTCTAACATTTTTGCAGTAGTATCTCATAGTTTTATTTGTATTTACCTGACAACTAATAATGCTAAACATAGGCACACATGATTATAGGTGATTCCTATTGCTTTGAAAAGTGCCTGGTTGTGGTTTTGCTTTACCTATCTTTTTACTAAGTTGTCTTCTTACTGAAGAGTTTATATATATTATATATGCATACTAGATACAAATACGTTCTCCTAAACTGTGGCTTGCATATTTGTATTCCTGTCTTTCAGAGAGCAAAGGTTTAATTTGGAGAAGGTCCAAGTAATTAATTTTTCTTATGATTTGTATTTTTTTTTGTCCTAAGAAAACTTAACTCAAGTCAAAACTTACTAAAGATTTTCAACTGTTTCAGTCTTTAAAGTTTTATGGTTTTAACTCCTACATTTAAGGCTATGATTCATTTTGTGTTAATTTTTATATAGTATGAGATTGAAATTGACATTCATTCTTTTTCTCACATTGATAGTCAGAGATTTTATTTTGTTCAAAACATTTTTCTTTGCTTAATGAAATACTTTGGAAATACATTCATTGAACATCAATTGCCCTTAAAAGTGTGGATCTATTCTTGGACTCTAATATATAATTCTGTTCCATTCACCTATATATCTGCCTGTCTGTCAATACCATAGTATCTTTTTATAATAGCTTTACAATTAGTCAAAATCAGGTTGTTTAATTCTTTCAATGTGTTCTGTTTCAAAATTATCTATAAAATCTGTTGCTGGTTTCTTAACAATTTTTTATATGCTCCAAGAATTCACTGATTTTGGAACATTTATTCAGTTCTTACCATACCACCTACTAAGCTGGCATTATGCTAGGCTCAAGGATACAATAATAAACAAGGACCATTCCTGCCTTCAAGGAGCTTAGAATTTGCAGTCCAGCAGAAAGGCAGCCTAATTGAGACCCATGGAGGTTAGGAAGAAGTGAGGAAAAAAGTTAGTTTTAGCTGAGAAGAATTTCAGTAAGTTAATAGAAGACATAATATAACCTCTTATTAGTTGTTCAATCATACTGGGATTCGGCATGCTTGCCAAAAAAAAAAAAAAGAGCATATATTATTTCTCACAGGATTATGTTTGTGTTTAAAAAAACAAATATATAAAAGAATTGTAGCTCTGTAGTAGAGCACATGCTTAGCATGGGCAAGGCCCTAAGTTCAGTCTCCAGCACCACCCAAATTGGGATAGTCAGTAAGTGGTAATATTCATTATAAACAATAACAATATCTGGTAGTACAGTAATGATAAAAACATATAGTCCATCACCTTGCAATATCACCTTCTCTACCTCCAAATCTAACCTGCATACCAAACTTTAATTTTATCTTCAAACATACTGATTGACAACATTTCTAGTCTTAGGAACACTACATAAGCTCATATCGAAAACAGCTACAATAATTAAAAAAAAATACTTTAATAGCAGAACTCTAAAAAAAAGAACTGTCACGAATACTTTGGCCAAGACTATTTTTTTTTTCATTTTGTGCACCCCAAAAAATAATAAATATAGCTAAAAAAACAAAGAACATCCCAAGAGTAGGGAAAAGGTATAGAAGGAAACAAAATTTGTGAGGATCTTTGTGTGTCATGTGTTTTGAATATTTCAAAAATTTCCAGCATCTTTCTAGTACATCCCATTCCTACCCTTAAGTGAGGAACATAAGGGAAGAAACTATTTGCTTAGAAACAGAATCTACTGAAAACAAAAAGAGTCTGCATTAGTTCCTGAGTTAAAAAAAAAAAAAAAGACAAGTCCCAACAACAGGGAGTTGAAGCAGGAAGGGTTGGTGAGAAGCTGCGGAGGGGCTAGGGAGGGCGGTGATGCATACTCATTAACTAAGCTGATAGTGACTGAGTGATCCTTTTCAACAGGACAGTGTTCCACTAGAGGACTGCCAACTAATAAAATGGGCAGGATATGAAAGTGTGACTCATGTGAACTTAGCACTGAGTGCCACCAAGACTCTACATAATGCAGCACCAACGCTGAGCTTTTGCTCCTAGAGCTGAGTGACCTGGAGACCTTGCCATTTGCAGATGTCTACCTGACTTCTTGCTCTGAGCCACGTCACAACACAGAGCCATATCCATGAACGAGGGGAGCTTCTCAGCAGCACAGACAGATGCTGCGTGAAAACTTGAACTTATTAATAACTTGAAGTACCAAAGACCTAAGAAATCCCCTCTGCTGGTGTTTCATGTGGAATAGATCTCTCCCATGTATGAGGTAAGGCTTTTAGTTTCTCCGTTTTGTGCTAGTGTTGGTCTCCTTTGCAGTGATGGAAAATGACTTCTTTCCTCACACTGTTGATGGGACTGGAAGGTTGGTATTTTAAAGGGACAGGAGTTGGTAAACAGCAAATTTTTCAGGTTGGCTAGAATATTTAGTGAATCAACCCTGGACTAGTCTTTCATTTTCCATATAGAGTAACAGATAAACAGCAACTAAAATATTACTTAAGAAAATTTACATAGAATCTCTGTGAGATTTAAACAGTCTTCATTGATGGCTCCTATTTAAAATGGGAGAACATGATTTTTAGTTATCGCTGCCAAGACTGCATGGAATTAAAATGATCCAGAAGTCCACTCAAAAGCGTAGGTCTGCTTTTGAAACCCGGAACTCGGCTGTGGATTTTCTCCCTCTATTGACCTTTTCCTTTTGTGATTTTTCATATAGACCTTGCTCTATACTTCTGCAGCTATTTCAGTGTCCAAAGAGATATGTGGCCATGTTATGTGCTAACTTTAAATGTACTTTAATCTCAATGCTTTTCTTTCCAGTCAGGTGTTTTGTAATAACAAATAGTAACAAAGGCTTTTTTTTTTTTTATTACTTAAGATATTCAGTGGCTTTTGTCTTCCTAGCGTCAGCAGTAACGTCAGAGGATTGTATCCAAGGAGCTAAATGTGCAGGACCCAGGGTCAGAGCAGCTGAATACACCAACCTCAGAAAACACAGACAATGAATTGCAAATGACACTCAAAACAAAACGAGGAAAAAAACCTTCACACAGAAAACTACAAAAGAACTCTACAGACACTGAATTGGCTTTCTGTACACACTGATCCTGCTTAACTGTGTGTGGTAACTAACCCAACGCTTCAGATACTCAGGGCCACAAAATAAAAGGTTGTTTTTATGTTTTGTTTTATTTGTAGAGATTGGTGTTATAAAAATAAAAATATTATTTCTTTCCTTTATGCCTATTCTTTATTTTTAAAAAAGCTTCACTAAGTGGAGATAGATGTAGCTCTTTGGTTTTAATCTTCAAACACATAAAGAGTGGCATTAGCGATGAAGTGATTAGTCTTCCCTTAATTCTACTGAAGGTTCTACACAAAAGGTATATTGTTTCAGCCAGGATTCACATCATGAAACAAAATGGTTTGGTAAACCCAATAGAAGTGATAGCCCTTTCATGACACACAGGGTTCAGCACTGTATATTTCAACTTGTTAGTGAGTCAGAGGCACAAGCAGGACCTCAGCCTCCAATGCCACTGAGGATGAATGGGAAGGCAAAACTGATGAGCTGCTGTTTAGATTTTCCCACTGGGAATTATTCCCAACTGTCCAAGCCTTATATCATTCAGGTAAATGGTAGCAGAGCAACATGCTTTTATTTCTTCCCAGCTAGCCAAAGGGCAATATAAAAAACTGAAAAGTAATATGTCTACTCTCTATTCATAATAAAGAAATAGCATTCCTTAATCATCAAATTATGGTCAGCACAGTTGGTTGTCGGTTAGCAAGAAGCTGAATGCACTCTGACTGACCCCCAAAGGCAATGCAAAAACCTTCCCCTCTATACTTTCACAACTTCTTCATGAAGTTCCTTACATCCCTTAAAATTAGAGAATGGCAAATCATATTTATGTCATAGGCATATATCTATAGAAAATTTACTATGTTTTAAATGATTTTAAAAAACCATTTCAAAAGTTTATAAGCAAAACTTGTTTTTTTTGGTGCGGTGGGGCAGGCATTGGAATTCTCTCTGCATCATCTTCAAGACAAAACACAAACTCAATATATGGTACTTCTCAAACACACTTCTTCGATTCAATAGCAGATGGCCACACTAAAGTACCAAGACTTCCCACTGAAATGCTTACATTTCCACTACCCTTGAAAAACACTCTTTCAAGGCCAAGCTCAGCTCTATCTTCCTCCTCTAATTTCTTTAGGCTCTGGCTGCTGATTTATTAAACATTCACTGAACTACACTGAATTACTGTTTTGTTGGTTTGGTCTCTCCTACTAGGCTGGGATCTCCTTAGGCACAGGACTCTGTCTCATCTGTTTTCAGGTTACACCCTTATATGGTATAGGCTTGCTCAACAAATGTGATGAATGGTTGGATGATGAATGGATGGACTGATAGATAAATTAGTAGATGGAGAGATGAAAAGAAAGAAAAATATAAAGAAGGAAAATGAACTCACATTAGGTGTGGTAGTTTTAGGAGATGCAGAAGCAACTACAAGGATATAATGAGTTTAATGATTATCACCTAGACAAATCCTAGTTACATTCTAGCACATAATTTGCATCTTTATTTTCTCTCTGCCTCCTCCCTTCACCTTGAGTTTTTTTTTTTTTTTGCTTTCTCCCATTTCTCTGAGTTAACAATTTACATTTTGTAGAACTTTGCTCTTCATATTTACTTGCTTTTAATTCTGTGATATTTATTATATGTCACTCTGTTAAGGGAACAAGTTCAGAGCGATTTTCTGAATTTCTGTTTTAAGTTTTAATCAGGACAGGGCTCCTGCAAGCACTGCAAGTTCCACAGACAACTTTCAGGCATCACCAATGTCTGATAGAACCAAATACATGTTACTAGTGAAGAATAAAAATATAAGTCTTTCCTGCAAGTATTTAAAATCAAGCTTGAGAAAGATATCTTACCCATGGCTTGTTTCCCCATGGCACACTGATAGGTGTTTCTTGGGGACTGGTTATGATGAGGATATGGGATCAGGCCAGCACAAACGCCAAGAAGAGTGAAGGGTTCAATCTCCAAGTGGGTGGTATCTCTACCAATCAAGAATTAGACATCTGAGTCAAGCACTAAAATCAATGTCTCTTAAAGTGTATAAAAATATCTTTATCTAGTTCTCCCAGGAATTTATAAGATTATACATTTTGATGCTAGCAAAACTGAAAAACAGAAACATACTTAAATAAAATACAATAAAACTTAAGAACTTAAAAATTTCTATTATTATAAAAACTGAATTAGTGATAGACATACAAGAAAAGGGAGACAGCATAGAATTGCATTCATAAAAAATAAAGCATTATTATAGCATACTATTAATATATAATATATAGAGAAACTAGTATGTTGAGTACAGAAATACAGTATTAGTAATATGCATATGGATGGGTAGGCTGTCACGTTATCAATGAGAAGGCTGTCACCTTAGAGAGGAACATACCCCCTTTAAGGACACTGTATGAGGACTAAAAGCATAACCACTCACTAACTATGGCTACTTTTTTTGAGGGGGGGGGGACAGTTAATGGGGATTGAACTCAGGGGCATCCCCAGCATTATTTTGTATTTTACTTAGAGACAGAGTCTCACTGAGTTGCTCAGTACCTCACTTTTGCTGAGGCTGGCTTTGAAATCGTGATCCTCTGCCTTACCCTCCCAAGCCTCTGGGATTACAGGTGTGTGCCACTGTGTCCAGCTAACTATGGCTACTTTGCACTTGAAATGTTAGGCCAGTGTGACTGAGGAAATAAATTTTTTATTTTACTTATTTAAAAATTTGAAACTCAAATTTACATTTAAAAACTCAACTGATTATTTTTTTAAAAAATATTTATTTAGTTGTAGATAAACATACATTATATTTATTTTTATGTGGTGCTGAGGATCGAACCCAGTGCCTCACACATTTGAGGCAAGCACTTTACCACTGAACTACAGCCCCAGCCCCTCAACTGATTATTTAAAACCTTCTAATTATGTTCAGAGTAGCTTACATTTATGAATCTACTTTTATAACTAAAATGTTATGAAATCAGATTAGATTGAGTATTTCTCATGAAATTTAACATCCAAGATGAATGTACACTATAAATGCACATCAGATTTTGAACACTTGTAGTAGAAAAAAGAAAGTAAAATATTTTAGGATTCTTACACTGATTACATGTTGATGTGATAGTATTTTGAATATACTGAGTTAAGTTAAAATATTTATTTTTTTTCTTTTTTTTTAAATTTTTTATTTTTTTATTGGTTGTTCACAACAAAAATATTTATTATTAATTTCACCTGTTTCTTCTTACTTTTTAAATGTGGCTACTAGAAAATTTGAAATTGTATCAGTATTGCTATAGGTTTTAAACAAAAGGGAAGAGTTCATCTCATAGGTACCAGAATCTTAGTTACTTTCATAACACATTTCTGCAGAAAATCCAGTTTTTGATTAAATGACAAAGCACCTCAGATATTTCAATAGGAAGGAGGAGCCAAATTATTCTTAGGCCTTTGCTGACAGTAACAGGTATCACACTCAGAATCCATGGTCTGCTAACCTCAAGTGATTGGAAGGTGGAACCCTAACAATTCGGTGGTTGGTAGTCCCATGGAGAGAAGTGATTTCAAGAAACTAGGTCCTGATCTGTCATAGAAATTTAGTTGTGATGTATCTGGCCCAAGATTTTCTACTAATTCATTTATCCATCCATTTTTCTTTTAATACTCATGTATTGAAATGTGTTCCTAGTGTGGTGAGAGTGGGTACTTTCTGAGTAGCTCTTGGTTGAAGAAATTGTTTTCCTTAGGACCTGGCAAAGCTCCATTCTGTCATTACCTTGGGCCTCCTGTCAGCAGGATAGGAAAGGGTTGTAGGTTTTGTTTTGTGTTTTCAAGAACATGAACTTAAAGTTACATTTTATAGGACAGAATAAAACAGAGTTTATTTTAAATATTTATTCCATTAATAGCCAGGCTGACATTCCCCAAGGAAATAAAACTACTTTTCAGATGTAAAGACTGAGTTGAGTTTAAAAGAGAAAACCAAAAGGAAACATCAAATAATTTTTCTTTTAACAGCACAGCAACATATACAAGATCACATAGTTTCTAATATTTTTATGGGGTGCTAAACACTCTGAGTTCTAATTTTACAAAAAAGGAAAATTATTTACTTTAAAATCATAACCACCATAAGTTTCTGTCCTGAACAGGAGTTGGGAGATTTCTCTTCCAATGTGATAAAGCACTTAAATTCACTTTAAATTAAAAGTAAATAACTTATTGCTTATAATTGGGGAAAACTTAGAAAAAACCTAAATATTCTATTAATAGGGAACAAACTAAATAAACTACATATGTGAAGGAAGATACTCTAATAATAAACAGAAAAATAATAATTTATACATATATTCAAATACATGTACATGCATTAATATGGAAAATGTCCAAAAGACACTATTAAGTTTAAAAGTTAAGCCACTGAAAACATGTTACCAGTGTCTTGAATATATGCATTGTGGGAGATCAGCTTATGTATTTTTATACTCATTTAGAAAAATATCTAGAAAACAAAGATCAAACTATTAGCACTATCTACTTGAGCAGAGTGGAGTCTGTTGGAATAAGGAAGGAAGGGAATTTATTGTTTTTACTTTATGCATTTCTACACTTCAAAAAACTTTATAAGTTAAATAATACAGCAATTTTTATATTTTTTAAATAAGATGAATTTAGTTCAATGATTGGGTAATCCTAATAGTCATAAGCATTTATAGCAATTAAAAAAGAGATTTAGGGCTGGGGTTGTGGCTCGGTGACAGAGTGCTTGCCTCGCACATATGAAGCACTGGGTTCGATCCTCAACACCACATAAAAAAATGAATAAACAAAATAAAATATTGCATCCATCTATAACTAAAAAATAAAATAAAATAAAAAGAGAGATTTAAAAAACTCAGCCTAAAAAAAAAGACAAAAATAAAACTCAGCCTCATGAAGCTTACAGTGGAGGGGAAAAGACCATACACATATAAACTAGCAAGACACAACTTTTGCTCTATACTAGTAAGACTAGAAAATAAACAGTATAAAAATTAAGCAGGGAACAGGGTATTTAGAGATAGAGGATTTTCAATTTTAAAACAAGTTAGTCAGAAGACTCACAAAAAGGTGACACCTGGGTGAATCTGGAGGTGAAACAGTGAATCCCTGTAGGTGTGTGGGAGGAGGGAAAGGGAGAGAAATTCTAGGCAGCAAAGGTGCTGAGACACAGCATGCCAGGAGCATCTTCAGGAGAGGCCAGTGTGGGTGAAACTGAGTGAGGGGAGGAAGAGGAGGCTGCTGCAGGATGAAGACAGTGTGGGCAGATGTGCAAGAACCTAAGGCCTCTAGGAGGACTTTCAGGGGATGGGAGAAGAGATGTGACATGAGCACACTATTCTATGAGGAACAGGCTAAATAGGGACACAGGGAACAATAGTCAGGAGACTTCTGCAAGAGTCCAGACAAGCAATGACATGGACTAGGGTGGCAGACTGTGGTGGTAAGAGCCTGGATTGTGGGTGAATTTTGAAGGCTTACATTACAAGCCAAGGAAATGTTGTGGATATGGGCAGGGAGAGTAGCTGAATTGAAACCCACATTTTCAGCTTGAGTAACATGAAGGAAAAAACACTATGAGCATATTACCATCTCAAGTTCATCTCATGCTTAGAGATATCTTTATAGGGAATTCCTGCTCTGACAGTAAGAATTCAGATGTCCACTGATAAAATTCTTTCTAGAAGAAAGAAATCCATTTTCATGTAGCCCCATTAATTACTTCAATTTTTATAGTAATTGAATGTTAAAATCAGAAAAATGATTTCTTTCAGAAAAACACACACTAAATGCCAAACGGCCTGGAAAGATAAGTAAGTCTGAAGATGACTTGTTAGCAACTTCGTGGTACCTTCGATTGGGACAGTCACAGGTATGCTTCACGACACAACAGTGCACCTCTAACAGTTTTCTACTATAGGAGTACACGACAGAATGGGAGGACAATGGAAAGAAGGCAGTGTCTATGGTCAGAAAAGGTTTTAATTAAAGTGCTACAGATTCTACTTACTTATTAATTGTATGTTCATAGAGTGCAATGTTACAATCATTTTCTTCATTCACATCTAAATATTCTACCAGACTCTCATGTAAGAAATCTTCAAAATTCCTGGGAAAATAATGATAAAAAGGGACATTATAAAAGAACATTTTATTGAAATATTTTATATAACAACAGAAGATACTGGCTTTCACTTGGCCCAAGGCACCTTTCTCTCCCAGAATATACTGAGATACTTGAAACAGGTTATTCTTGAATCACGGTGTGATCACAAATCACTGAGATAAAAACATTAATGTATCTGATTTTTGCTAATATGGTTTTAACTTCTAAAATATTTGACTTCAGAAACTCCACATAATGAAAGACCCACAGTATATACATCAATGTAAGTTCTTTTCTCACTAAAAACTATTAGTGTAGAAATTTACACCAAGACTTTCAATTTAACCTGGTAAGTATTTTACCATGTCCAAGCAACTTCATATGGAGAAAATAACTTTTTTTTTTTTTAAACAGACTGGTATATTTGATGGGGAGGAATTAAGAGATCAAAAATGAAAATGTACTTTTCTTAAAAGAACAACAAATCAAATAACATTATTTTTACTTCTGGCCATTTACCTGTACCCCTGAGCCAGCTCTTCCATATGCTTATTTGTGACTGCTGGCTTCTGTTTCTTAACAATTATGTAAGGTCTAGGAAGGAAAAAAATAACAACTTAATAGTAATTTTACAGAAGAGTTATACCAGCAAGTAATATCTGTTATAATGAAATAAGGGAAAATGTAGAAATGATCAAAGTTATACAGATTGATTGAGAACACTAATTTTGGCATATGTGACCATACAGGGGCCTCTACCTGCATGCACACAGGTGTTCTCTCAAACACAAATGCACACCACACACATACACACAGTTTTAAATGAAAAGGCAACACAAAAACGATACTCAACAAAGTCTAGAAAGGAAATGAAAACTTTATGTCACATGTCATATTTTTTTAAACTCTAAATGTATCAGAGGGTCTTGGAACACGCCACCCACAAGTAAGGGGAAACTGCTGTAAACCCATAAAGCTAGCTGGCAACAAAACACTGTCACCAAGGGTAATGATGGCATTTGTTGTGAGGATGTGATGATGAATACCCAGATGTTCTGGAACCGTCTGATTTAGGATAAGCATCACTGAGATAGACTAATAGGTTACTTTAACTATTCTTGACAAAATCAAGTGGCTCTACTTTTGCAAGAATGAGGCTTCCTTACTCCATAATCTGCACTGGCATACTGGGTGGAAGGTAGAGAGAGCACTTGGGTAGATTAACCTGTAACTGTCAGTGGTGACTTGCCGATGAGGGCTTCGCCACTGCGAGGAAACACTGACACAAAAGATGGCATGCAGCATGGAAACGTCAAGGGCCGTTGCTATTTGGACAGCAGCTCTCACATAGAGAAGCAAGAAACCAGCCGACACTTGTGCACTGCACCCTGAAGCCCAAATAACTATGTGAGGACTAATGAGCACTTTAAACTGTTAAGAAGAGGATCTGCATAATCACAAAAGGGGAACATGAGCTGCTGAAAAGTGAACTGGGTGAGCTTTTCATGGAAATCAACAGTACCTTGAAATTCTGGCTTATTCACTGGAGGGAAGCAGAGTGACCTGATGTCACATGGGAGGGCTGCAGCATAGCTCAGGTTAAGACTCAGAAATGAAGGCAGACACAGGAATTGAAGAGAGAGATCACTAACTCAATAAAGCCCACTATTTTTCCTGCCATATCTATTGTCTGCCATTGTAAAATTACTGCTAAAAAAAACCAAAACTTGTTTTGTTTTAGAATATGCTTTATTATGCTGAATGTAATGAAAGAGAAAAATCATTTAAAAAGCCAACCTGGAACATGTCATTGTTTTTCCTGCCACTAATGAGGCCATGTTGTTAAGCACATTATATGTGATTAGCACCCTACAAGAACTTACCTCACCTTGCCAGTTATTCTCAGGATAATCCTAGGAAGGCTTTACTATTTCCATTTTACAGCCAAGGAAACCAAGGCTCAGACTTGTATATTATACTCAGAGTCACACAAAATCAATAACTGGCAAGATAAGATTGAACACATATCATTCTCGGGTATATTTAAGAGAAACTTATTCGTGCTAATTTAAGCAACATGGAATTTACTGGAAAAACTAAGAATTTACTGGACGGACAAGAATCAAAGAAAAAGGAGAAATGCTTAGGCATAGAAAGAACAGGAATCACAGCAGCTACAAGGATCCAGAAAGAAAGGAGTAATAGGCAGACTCTTGCATGGGTCACTGGCAGCATGTCAACTACTTGCCTCCCTTGATTTATTCTACTTGAATTCAACTGATGAATCTGATGAGGAAGTATGACTGGCCTCACTTGGATCTCATACCTGACCTTTTGCTAGGCAAGGAAAGCCTTCACACTGTATGCAATAGGGAGGGGCAGTCCCCAAAGGAGAATATAGTATAACTAGAAGGAGGAAAGGATAAGGGACAGACAGACAATGGCAGTCCGCTCTTCCAGTTCTGCTTTGCAACTATTGCTAGCTCACTGCCTTATACCTAACATCATCAGGAGTTGAAAAATTACAACTAGAAAATAAGTGAAGGCTTCTGAAACACCATAATGACCTCAACTGATGCCCCTGCATGTCCCCCAAAGACCAGATACTATATCATATTCATCACTATACCTCCAGCTGCTGGACAATACCTGTGCATAACAAATCCTTAATAAATATTTGCTGAATGAACAATATTAACCTACTTTCCATTAGTTCTAATGTAATTTTTTAAATTCTTGCTTTTCCTCAGCCTTCTTCATTTCCCCTATACCCAAGTAACGCAATCCTATTAATCTTTTAAAGCAGTTTGTAGCAGCGGAATACACAGGATAAAATCATGACTGTTAGAGTCAAGGGACTTCTAAGGAATTCCCATTAAAAACTTGACTCCACCATTCTCTAGCTCTGGGTAAGTTACTCAGGAATACTTCATGGAATACCCCAATTTCCTCATTTGCTAAATGAAAATAATAATTCAACCTCATAGGGTTGAATGTAGTTAGAGCCTTATATATAAGTATATCCATTAAAATAATAAGTAGTGACTAACATTTATTAATAGTACAGTTGATTATCATTAATAATAATTATTTCTCCTCTCCCAGCAGACTGAACTCTCTGAGGGCAACAATGGTCTCTCATTAATCTTTGAAATGTTTATTAACTGAATTAAATGTATCTTAACATTGAAGAAGGAAAAAGAAGCTTCAAAAATAAGTCAATTTATTTCAAAAGTTAACATAAAGAGACTCTTCTAGCAATATATACCTGCACAGTCTTCCTCCATCAGAGGAAATATAAACACACCGATCTGTAAGATTTGTTGAGATGGAAACAAATTCATTGATATATCCTGCTCTTCGCATCAGTCGAAATGTATTCACTAGCTTTTTATGATCTCGAATGACACCCAGAATGTTACCTAAGCAAAAGAAGTAAAAGAATTAAGAAGAGGTAAGACAGGAACAAAATATAAACCTAATCTCATATAAAATATCTACCCAACACAGGAATACTGAATAGTCATTTGAAAATAGTTATTAACATGTGGCCATCCATAGGCTGAGGGAAGCAGCACAGCGGTCAAGGTCATCCTGGGGCCCTGGAATCCAGGGCCAGTCCTATCACACACTGGCTGAGGAGCAGTGCAAGTGAATTTCACTGTTCTCATCTGGCAGCACAGTGCTGTGAGTGTACATGTGGGTCCACACCACCAGCGTGTGCCCACTGGCTCTACCACTTCCACGGGGAGATTAAGAAAATAAATGAGTTGAAAGTGCTGAGGATTCTGCCCCACATCTAGTGACTGCTCATCTGCTCAGCATCTATGAAACGAAGACACTGGGCTTTCCTCCCATTTTCAAGAGGATTCAGAGGCACTAGGACATAGTGCAGGCCAAGAGTTCATGCACTGTTAGCTTCTTGGATTCACTGGAGAAGGTAGATAGTTAACAGCCCTGTTGAGGTCCTGACTCTCCCTTGGCAGGCCCTACCTGCAAGGGTTAGTGGATCCCTAATTGGGGAGAAGAGAAGGACATGACCTAAGTGGTCAGGGGTGAGCACATCAAGCAGGCACACAAACCACCAAGTCAAAAGGAGAAAGGATGGGCGCACTACTGCCCAGCCTCTGGTGGGCTCTGAAGGAGGCAGGAAGAGGTATATGAAAGTGGGTCAGAAGAGGGGGAACTTCTTGCCACAGGCTGCTAACATACCAAGGATCAAATGGCTGAATACATTCAACTCACTGTAAGGGCTGACCTGGTTATTTTACAGGGCAACTCAGATATTTAAGGTACCCTGCTGAACCTTATTCCACTGTAAATATGTTAGCAGCTACAAGAGGGAGAAAGCAGTCAGTCTTTGCAATGTTATCCTTCACTCACACAGCTGTGTCCTCTCAGAACTTTGGATAATGCAACCAGTAGAATCACTGTCTTCCTTCCACCTTTAAATCAAGGTCCTTCTAGGCCCAGGGTTAGAATATGTTTGTGATTTAAATATAAGGATATTAATTGACTCCTTCCCTACTCCCAACAGGGACATGTCTCTATTCCCTACTCCCAACAGGAACATGTCTCTATAATATACCCACCATTGAGAAAGACGAGAAACACATTTGGATAAGAGAGTTCTTCTCCACATAATAAATTCACATCTTCTACTCCCAAGTTACTGGCTAACTTAACAATGGGTCCATCTTCCATATCAGTTGTGATGTGTGTCATAAGGGCCAAATTTTTAACCAAACCGCAGGCCTAAAACATAAGACAATCATTTCTAAGAATGAATATTAGTACAGTGTGTGTCTGAAAATAGCTCACTACTATGCTGGTGGCAATATAAAGCAGTATAACCTCGTAATGGACATTTTGGTAATTTACAAAAAGAACTTAAAATGTACATGTCCTTTTGCCCAGAGAAATTTATACTCAGGTAACAAGAAAGGATATAAAATAGATGTAGCCACATAAATGCTCAGCACAGTATATTTGCAATTACAGATAATGATATCATAAATATACAAAAAAAGGAAAGAAACATTATAGAAACTATTTTTCCCAGAGAGTGGAATATCAAAGTCATTACAATGATATAATATAGGAAAAGAGTAAAGAAAAACAATAATAAATCTAGCTACACAAAAACAGAAAACTTCTGGCAGAAAAAGAGAGACTTTCTACAGAATAACTGGCCAGAACTCAAAGTTTTTTGGTCATGAGAGGCAAAGAAAGACTAAAGGACTGCTCCAGATTGAAAGGGACTCAGGAGGCATGGTGACTAAAGCAACACATGAGCTGGATCAGAAACAGACATTGTTGGGACAACTGGGGGAAATCTGAACAAGGTCTACAGTCTATGGCATTGTCACTAATGTTGATTTCATGAGGTCAATAACTGTGATAAGATTACACAAAATGCTCACATTGGGGAATCTAGATGTAAGATTATGAAAAGTCTTTGTACTATTTTTGCAATTTTTTGTATATCAAATTATTTCATGATAAAAAAATAACAAGAACTTTTCGACTTTTATACAACCCCAAAAATCTACAACAAAAGTATAAGAAAAAACATAGCAAAAGCAGAAAACACTCAGAACATGGGTGATACCTAAAGACTGTAACTTCAATTCTTGGAAACTATTTTCTATATGCACAAAGTAGCCACTTAGCCACTTAATAAAGTTAGCTGAAGGAATCTCTGAGAAACACAGTGCTCCAAAGCTCAAGATGTTTAACTCATGCAAATTTGAAAAACTGTACCAATTTATGTGAATTACCATACTGGGAGAAGAGTTTTTAAAAATCACAAGTGCATAGAATCCTATTTTCTACCCCTCTCAAATCATAACATTTGATATATTTTGGAACTGACATTTTTTTTACTGGTCATAAATTAACTTATTTATTCATTCAGTATGTATTTATGGAGCCTCCATTCTAAATGAGGCTCTATGTTAGGAGCCTGAGGTAAACCTTCCTTCTTTGGAGGTTTGATTTAAAAGAAATGGAAGCAAGAGAAACTAACAATGGTAATGCAAAGGAGAAAGGGGCCATGTCACAGGGAGGAATGATAGTAAGCCCCTTTATTTGGCATTTAGGTAACGGCGCTAAGTGAGTCAGAATTATCAGGTTTTGGACTGCACACGCTTAGTTAGCTACACCTGAGTACACAATGTCCTCTAAGCACATCTGAAGGAAATAAAAAGCTACTCAAAAAGAGATCCATTTGAGCATCAAAAGTGATGGGTCTCTCAATTGTCCTTCACGTTCTAATCCCCTCTTCATATGACTGGTTCTTGGGATAAACTATAATAGGCAAAATCAATGTGGACCATGAATTTCTTTATCAAATGCTTCTGCAGACACTAGTTTTGGAATGATATTGATATAGTCTTAACAAATTACATCATTATTTCTTGCCAGATAAGTGGTTAATCTAAGAAAAAGACATGGGCTAGAGAATGACAGCAGAAGCAGAATCCCCAGCCCCAGACTCCAACAAGTATGTCCTCTGACACTGTACACAGGTGCCTTACCTCTCCTTCAGGAGTGTCTGAAGGACAGAGCATTCCCCACTGAGATGGCTGGAGGGAGCGAGGACCACTCACTTTCCTGGTTTTTTCAAACTGGGAAGAGATTCTTGTCATCATGCCCAGTGCGGATATGTATGACAAGCGTGACAAGACTTGGGTCACACCTTGACGGTCCATTTTAAATCTCTTTAGAGACCAATTTCCCTGTAGAAAAATGACAGACATGAGACTACCGGTAACCCTTTCATATGCTGCCTGAATCTCAGGAGTCACTCTGAGAAGTTCAGAATAAGAACTGCTTGCTCATGAAATTAAAGCCAGGATATTTATTTCTAAATCAAAATGTCACAATTATAATTAAAACTTATGCAGCTACTTGCTGAGGTTTTCCAGGAATATGATGAACACAAACTATGTCTAGCAACCATCTCAGAATGCTTCACTCTTACAACCTTATCATGTCAGTGTAGTCGTCATCTGAAAAACTCACACATGGAACATGTCAGTTTAACCCAAGTGTCCACTGGAAGCAATAAGTCAGCTGATCAAAGGTAAAATGAGTTTGAAGCTCAAAGAGATAATTTCATGTTGGCATACACTATTATTTGGATGTCTTCCAAAGTTAGTCTTAATCAGAGGAAAATACAGCAACAGAAAAATGACTCATAGCAGTTATTAGGAATAATGAATACACTGTAGCTTTCTTCATCAGGTCTGAGGAATCAAAAAATTATATATGTTCATATTTTTTTTAAAGAAAGAGAGAGAGAGAGAGGAGAGAGAATTTTTTAATATTTATTTTTTAGTTTTCAGCAGCACAACATCTTTATTTGTATGTGGTGCTGGGGATCAAACCCAGGTGGCACGCATGCCAGGTGAGCTCTCTACTGCTTGAGCCACATCCCCAGCCCAAAAAATTATATATGTTCATATTAAACACTGTATATTCTCTGTGGCTATCATGCCAATAGTGGAATAGATTCATATAAATGACTCTTGAAAATTAAATTTGCTTAATCCTATGCAATAAATATGTCATAGTATATTAAATATATTATCAACAAATATATGAAAAAATGCTCCACATCTCTAGCAAATTAAAACTATACTGAGATTTCATTTCACTCCAGTTAGAATGGCAAGTATGAAGAATACAAGTAACAAGCTGAGCGCTGTAGTGCAAGCCTGAAATCCCAGTGGTTTGGGAGGCTGAGATAGGAGGATGGCAAGTTCAGAGAGAGCCTTAGTAACAGCAAGGTACTAAGCAACTCAGTGAGTCCCTATCTCTAAATAAAATACAAAATAGGGCTGAAGATGGGCTCAGTGGCCAAGTGCCCCCAAGTTCAATTCCTGGTGTGTGTGTGTGTGTGTGTGTGTGTGTGTGTGTGTGTGTGTGTGTAAAGAATACTAGTAACAATAAATGTGGGTGAAGATGTGGGGAAATGGATACAGTCATACATTGTTGGGGGGACTGTAAATTGGTGTGACCACTCTAGAAAATAGTATGGAGATTGCTCAGAAAACTTGGAATGGAGCCACCATTTGACTCAACTATCCCACTCCTCCGTATATATCCAAGGGAGTTAAAATCAGCATACTATAGTGACACAGATGCATCAATGTTTACAGCAGCCCAATTCACAATAGCTAAACTATGGAGCCAACCTAGACGCCCTTCAACAGATGAATGGATAAAGAAAATGTGGTATATAAACACATCAGTATTATAGCAAGTAAGAATTATTTTATGTCTACTATGTTAAGTAAAATAAATCAATCCCAAAAAAACCAAAGATTGAATATTTTCACTGATATGTGGAAGCTGACTCACAATAAGGGAAGGAGGGGGAAACACAGAAATTCTGTAGATTAGATAAAGGGGAATGAAGGGAAGGAAGTGGGGACAGGAAAGAGTGGAGTGAACCTAACATAATTTTCCTATATTCATATATGAATATACCACAGTGAATCCCACCATCATGTACATCCACAAGAATGGGGTCCTAATTAGTTAAAGATACATTCCAGGCTTGTATAATTATATCAAAATGGATTCTACTGATATGTATAACTAAAAAGAACCAATTTTTTAAAAAGAACCTGATGACAACTACAAATATTTTCTTGAGAAAAATGTACAAAATACTATGAACACAAAATCTGACACTCAAATTTCAGAAGCAGACTTCTGGATCCCAGATTAGACACCTTCATAGTAGATAAATTGCATGGCTACAAAAAGATATTAAGTGATCTGTTCATATTGAAATATATGACTTCGCTGGAGCTCCTTCACAAACTGAAGTTTTCTCTTCATTACAACAAAGGTCCATCACTTCAAAACCTTGAGTTTTTGATAATGTGGAAAAGAATTAATTCTAAGAAGAAATTCTATTATAAAACAAGAAAACAGAGCAAATACACAAATTTCACAAATTAACTTATTTATATTGCTCACTTAGGTAACTCCATTTATCCTTGAAATGAGAAAGAATCTAGTAAACTAACTTATGCCCAGACAGAATAAATAAGGAAAAAATTAAGAATAAACATAATATAAGAATAAATAAGATAAAAAAATATTTGGTAGAAAGCTAAAAATAAGGCAGCAGCTGACAGCAATCAGGAAGTAGGTGGGGAGTGAAGCCAAGAAGTGCAGCATGAGAATTTGTCCCAGTATTCTGCAGGTTTTTTACAAAAGGGAGAAATAGTCAAAGAGTCTAAAAATATTAAGAATTCTACTAAAGCAACACTACAGAACATTACAGGTTCATCTTTCCTGGTTGCCTTCATATTGGGTTACACCTGCCACAAAGCCTACTACTAATTTTCTTAATAAGCAGCCCTGTCAGGGAGGTAAAACAAGCCACTCAGCAAAAAAACTATTCCAAACAGCTGTTGTAACCTAAAAAAATGGGTCAGGAAGCAAGGAAAAGCAGTTCTCACAAAAGCATGCTTAAAGAGCCTAAATGGCACAGAAGCAGGGTGCACCTCCACTTTAGGTGCAGCTATCACTATAGTTGCTGCTCACACAGACCACTGGAAATTTCCAAAGTCAACTACTGAAGCAGGTCTGCACTCATTCTCTCATTGTTACGGGAATCATTGTGTTGGGCTACACTACCCTTTTGTTGGGACAAGATCCCATCCATAAAACTAATTGTATGTCTGGCATCAAAAATGTGAACCAGACTTCATCAGATAGACCTATAGTTGCTATGCTTCAAAAATGGGAGCAAAAACCTATCTGATAACCTTTGGTGAATAGCTGGAGACCCTGAATACACAGCAGCTGCTGAGGACTGAATTCATTGCTCAGGAAAGGAACAGCTGATAGGTCTCTGAAGAATATAAGCTAAATGAAACATTAGGTTGAATGTGAAATGAAACACTTTTGTATTGTTTTGGACAAAACTTGCCAAATAATAAACCTGCCTGAAATACATCAATTTTATTATACAAAAAAGAAAGTTAAAAGAAAAGGTTATTAAAAGAAAGGTTATTAATAGTTTAAAGAGAAGAATTTTCCCCTCCATGTGTTATCTATTTTCTTTTTTGTCTTATAGAGAAGGAAGTATAATTTGGCAGGAAAGTTACCAGTAGTCATGATACATTCTAAGACCCTGGTAGATGTCTGAAACTGCAGAAAGCACAGAACCCTATACATCCTATTTGTTTTCTATACATAAGTAACCTATGATGAAGTTTGTTTTGTAAGTTAGGCCAGTAAGAGGTAAACAATAATAACTAACAATAAAATTTGAAAATTAAAATATATGATAATAAAAGTTATTTAAAAATTATAAATTTTTTTATTTCTGGAATTTTCCATTTAATATTTTCAGATATCAGTTGAAGATGAGTAAATGAAACAAACCATGGAAACAAAACCCACAGCTGAGGGAGGTTACTACAGTATTAAACTTTCAGGTTACTACAGTATTAAACTATTAGACAATTTACACTTTAGACTATGTTTTCCAAAGCAGAAAATTTTTTATTTGTACATTCCTTTAAATTCATACACAAACACAAATACACACACACACACACACACACACACAAAACCTGGATTCTTGAAGTCCTTTAAATCTCCATTTCACTGAATAAATTCACAAACTCCAAAATCCTAAAAGAAGACTTACAGTGGAAATGGCATTCACCATGCCATTGGTGATCTGGTCTTGGCGCATGTGTTTCACAACGTCAAACTGGGCTGCTCTTTGTTTAGGAATCACCTGGTCTGCAATCTTCTTCATTTCAGAATTAAATTTTTTGAACAAATCTTCAAAAAGAAGAGATAAAAGCTAAAAGAAAAGGAAAGAAAAGTATATGATGATTTTTCAAAAAGCAAAACATTGTTGAAGACTGAACCCAGGACCGCCCACATGCCAGCCAGCACCTCTACCATGGAGCTCTACACACCACCCTTCAGGGTTGTTTCAATAAACTCTGAAGCTTTGTTTTTAAAATAAAAAAGACAAAAAAAATCTTAAAAATATGTATTTTAAAATTCAGTTTGATAGATACATACATGATTTTCTATATGCCTGACACTACAGTGGAGAGCAAAGATGGTGAGATCATCCTGCACTCAGAGACACCTTTAAACTAGTCACTTCCAGCTGTTTAGACTTCACTGACTAGAGACCTGATTTTTAATTTTATAAATAAAAACATTCAAACCAAAAAAAAAAAGAGTGTGTGTGTGTGTGTGGGGGGGGGGTTACCAATAGAAAGTTAATGAAACTAAAGATGTAGAGCCACTTGAACTTTCCTGTAACACTGGTAAAAATACAAACCAGTTAGAAAACAACCTGCCATTATTTACCCATCATTTATATCCAGTAGCTTCTCTCCTAGGTGTAGCCCCTACAGCAGTAGTTCTCAAACTTTAGAAGGGTCGTAACCATGCCGAGGACTATTAAAACACAAAGTGCTAGCCCCACCCTTACAGTTTGTGACTCAGTAAGTCTAGGGTAGAGACTAATAATCTGCATTTCTAACAAGTACCCAGGAGAAGTCAGAGCAGCTGGAAGGAAGGGGCACTTTAAGAATCAGTATTCTTAGTGACAAACCTACATAAATAAGGTGCCAGAAACATACACTGGAGAAAAGATAGCATCTTCCACAAATGCTGCTGGGAAAATTGGAAATCCATATGTTGCAGAATGAAATGAAAACCCTATCTCTCACCCAACACAAAACTCAACTGAACATGGATCAAGGACCTAGGCATCAGACCAGAGACCCTGCACCTACTATAAGAAAAAGTAGGCCCAACACTCGAACATGTTAGCTTAGGACCTAATTACTCATCAAGACTCCTAAAGCACACGAGCTAAAATCAGTAATCAATAGATGGGATGGTATCAAACTAAAAAGCTTCTTCACTACAAAGGAAACAATCAAGAATGTGAACAGAGAGGCTGGGGCTCAGTGGCAGAGCACTTGCCTAGCATGTGTGAGGCACTGGTTTGATCCTTAGCACCACATTAAAAAATAAACCAATAAAATAAAGGCATGCTGTCCATCTACAATTACAGAAAAAACAAATGAGAAAAAGAGAGCCTACTGAATGGGAGAAAATCTTTGCCACCTGCAAAGATAGAGCATGCATCTTCAGGATATATAAAGAACTCAAAAAACTTAACACCAAAAAACCAAATAATAAATGGGCTAAGGAATGGAACAGACACTTTACAGAAGAAGAAATATAATCAATCAACAAATATATAAAAAAATGTTCATCTTCTCTAGCAATTAGAGAAATGCAAATCAAAACTACTCAGTCAGAATGGCAATTATCAAGAATATAAGCAATAATAAGTGTTGGCAAGGATTGGGGGAAAAGGTACATTGCTAGTAGGACTAAAAATTGGTGCAACCACTATGGAAAGCAGTATGGAAATACCTCAAGAAACTTGTAATGAATCCATCATTTCACCCAGCTAACCCACTCCTTGGTTTATACCCAAAGGACTTAAAATCAGCATACTTTGGTGACATAGCCACATCAATGTTCATAGCAGCTCAATACATAATAGCTAAACTATGGAAACAATGTAGATGCCCTTCTACAGATGAATGGATAAAGAAAATGTGGTACATATTCTTTATATAATAATGTACATAATGATGGAATATTACTTAGCATTAAAGAGAAATGAAAATTATGGCATTTGCAGGTAAATAGATGGAACTAGAGAATATCACACTAAGTGAAATAAGTCAATTCCAAAAAACAAAACCTGAATGTTTTATCTGATAAGCAGATGCTGATTCATAGTGGAGTGGGGGAATAGGGAAGAATGAAGGAACTCTGGGTTTGTATAGAGGGGAGTTAGGGGAGGGGTGGGGTTGTAGAGATGGGAAGGATGGTAGAAAGAGACACACCCTAATATATATATATATATGATTACACTACTGGAGTGACTCTGAACCATATACAGCCAGAGGAATGAGAAGTTGTGCTCTACTTGTGTACTATATATCAAAATGCATTCTACTGTAAAATTAACTAATTAAAAAAAAGAATACAAGTAACAATAAATGTTGATGAGTATGGGGAAAAGGGTACCCTCATACACTGATGGTGGGACTGTGTATCAGTGTAATCACTCTGGAAAACAGTATGGAGATTCCATAGAAAACCTAGAATGGAACCACCACTTGACCCAGTTATTCCACTCCTTGGAATATATCCAAGGGAGTTAAAATGAGCATTCTACAGTGACAGACACATCAATGTTTATAGCAGCTCAATTCACAATAGACCATAAACTATGAAGTCAAACTAGGTGCCCTTCAACAGATGAATGTATAAAGAAAATGTGGAATATATACACAATTGAGTATTTACTCAGCCAGAAAGAAGAATGAAATTATGGCATTTTAATTTATCCATATTAAATAGACAGAACTAGAGACCATCATACTAAGTGAAATAAGCCAGTCTCAAAAAAGGCCAAATGTTCTCTCTGATATGCAATGCCCATCCCCGAAGAATAGAAGTTCACTGGATTAGTCAAAGTGGAGGGAAGGACAGGGAGGGGGATGGGAATAGGAAAGACAGTAGAATGAATATAACTTTCTCACATTCATATATAAATTCATGACCAGTAAAACTCCACATCATGTACAATTACAAGAATGAAATCCTAATAAATTATACTCCTTGTCAAATATACCCAAAGAACTTAAAATCAGCACACTATGTCAAAATACACTCCAATGTCATATATATCTATCTAAAAAGAACAAATTTTTAAAAACTCACAAATACCTTTCACAGGTTAAAAATAATAAATAAATAAATATCGGTGTTCTACAGAAATTTGTGTCTAATTGCATAAGGACATATACAATTTATTTGTAGCTGCACTATTTGTAACTGCTAAGAACTGGAAACCATAAAAATAATACTTAGACAAATTCTGTGGCAAATTCACATATTGGAACATTAATAAGCAATGAAAATGAACAAAAAATAACTAACCATGAAATCATGGCTGGATCTTAAAAACATGACACTGAGTGAAAGAAATCAGATATAAAAAGAATGTATATGGTATGATTTCTTATGTATAACATTAAAAAAACAGCACAACTAAACTATACTAAGAAAGGGTAAGGAAACCTTTCAGCCTTGCAAAGCCGTGGAAGGCAAGGGGAACCTGCACTCAGAAGAAGGCAGAGGCAAGAGCTATCTATCTGACCTTTGGGGTGGAAGAGGAAACCTCCCTTGTTCTCTCCAGGCTTTGCACCTAGTAATAAAAGTCTACCACAGAGCAGGTCAGCACAAGCTCCTGGCACCAATTCCAGAAGAGGTACTATACGAGAGGGAAGCAGTGGAGAGCAAAATACCATCTTTCACTGGGTTAAGGGATCCTGCACTGATACATAGCAGGGGCTGGGTCCCACTGGGAAGGGGCAGGAAATGGAAAGCTGTCCATTACAAATTTGGGAGACAGGAGAGAGTACCCATTCTCACCACTCCTGTTCAACACTGCAACAGGGCAGGAAAAGAAGGTCCAATATAAATATTGGGAAAAAAAGCAACAAAACTGTTTCTACTTCAGATAACACAAAAATCAATGTTTATCAAACCTGCAAGCTAAGCTACAAGGCCAATAAATGAAAAGCAACTAGGTTTAAAACATTACTGACAGAAATTAGAGAAAATCTCAGAAGGAGATACATAGGACATTAATGGATTAGGAGGCTAATATTATTTGGATGTCAATTCTCTCTAAATTTATATATAGATTCAAATGCAATCTTAATCAAAAGCTTGCAGGGTTTTTATTAAGTACTTGTAAAAATGGATAAGCTAATTTTTAAATTTAAGAAACAGGTTAAAATTCCTAACTTTATAATGATACTCAGAAAAAGAAGGAAAAAAATCCTTGACTACTTATCTCTGGAGGAAATTGGAGACATAAACCATTATTCTGCAAAATGTTTTTTATTTTTGTTTTTTTTTTAAAGAGAGAGGGAGAGAGGGAGAGAGAGAGAGGAGAGAGATTTTTTGTAATATTTATTTTTCAGTTATTGGCGGACACAACATCTTTGTTTGTATGTGGTGCTGAGGATCGAACCCGGGCCGCACACACGCCAGGCGAGCGCGCTACCACTTGAGCCACATCCCCAGCCCCTGCAAACTGTTTTTTAAAAAACACTGTCTTTCCCACATAGATTATGTGCCAGGGTAACCAAAGATGTGATAATAAAACTATTCCTTATTTTAAAATTCCAGTTAATAAATGCTTTAAAGTGAAAATATTAGAATATCCCCATTTTGTATGACCTAATGAAATAATAAATTGAGGAAATGATCACCATAAGTACAAAATAAAACCATCAGGAAAAAAGTTAATGGGGAACATTACAATGGAAGAATCGAGACCCAAAACCTAACTCCAAAGATCAATTCCAATGGCACAAAAAAAGTACATACAACCATACAACCACATAATACTACCATCCACAAAGTGTTTGGAGAAGGGGTGCCAAACCACAGTAGCATTTAATCTCTAGATTTAATTGCTGGTTTATAAGAAATTCAGAAAAGAGAGGAGAAAAAACAATATGTCTATATGTTAAAAGACATCATGAGATTTATGTTGTGTCCAGGTGTTAAGAGTAATTTTTATTTTTATCTTATCATTGATTTTAATTTCGTTCCATTACGATCTGATATAACACAGGATATTATCTCTATTCTTTTGTATTTGCTAAGAATTATTTTGTGTCCTAAAATATGACCTATTTTTGAAAAATGTTCCATATGCAACTGAGAAAAAAA